GCCCTTTCGGTGGAGAGAATAGAAGGTAAGCCAACGAATAGTGAAAGTAGCAGGCAGTATGGTGTTTAAAACCCAATAATTCAAGTACCTTGGTTGAATCTATTCATCCAAATACCTTGGAAAATTTAGCGGCGCACTATACGATAAGATGCTCATCAAACTAAAGGGAAAAGTGTACAGAATGATAGTAAGATCGGTATTACCGTACAGGCCGGAATGTTTTGTTACCCAAAGAGACACGAGCAACAGGTGAGCATGGTAGAAATGCGAATATTCAGAGGGATGAGTGGAGTCAGCAAAAAGGACACATCCGGAACACCTCTGCCTTCATTAGAGGCACTTAGGCTTATCACCAGTTACAGAAAATCTTATCAAAAGGAAGTTCCGTTGGTTCAACAAAGTGAAAGGAAGAACTGAGGAATACGCTGGTCCAATCATTGGCACTTTCAGGGAGGAAACGAAGGGAAAGATCAAAGAAACGGCTGCGGCAGATCGTAAGGAACGACATGAAATTGCTAGCAGTAACCGAAGATTTTGTCGAAGGCCATTTAATGTGGAGGCAGTTGACTCGAACAGCCGAGCCGCTTAAACGAACGTGCCAGGAAGGAAATTTCAAACGTTCATGCATCATTAATCTACATTACAGTATTTCACCGTTTGAGCTTGGCTAGCTTTAAGTGACAGAAAAACGAGCTACCACAAAATTTAGATTCTTAAGCATAGAGAACGCATTATCTGAACAACATGATTCACAAGAAAGATTACTTTCAAATATTTAGCAAATCAAGTCTGAAAATGGTATTACGAATCTTATGATGGAGGACAGTTCTTCGTTCTGTGATGCGGCATAATATTCATACCTTTGCGGAAAAATATAAACTATCCGAAGAGAAGGTAAGTAAATTTATTACCCTTTTTACGTACTGAAAAGCTGTACCCTGAAGATTAAAAGCACCGAATGTATAGATTTCAAAACACAGTACAACGGATCGTACAGAACTTGAAAATCACATTTTAAACTCTCAACAACACTGTTCCTTTTACGCAATCTCGCATATGCACGTGATTTTACATATACGGGCTTGCTGTCGAGATCACAGAGATGTTAATGCTTTCACTCTGGAAGAAAGATTGTTAACTGCGATAAATTAATATATACTCTGTCATTACAACTTTTTATCACTGTAGAAAACTGCAGGCTTTTAGCTTCCCTGGACTGACACGGCGATTATTTTCTTCAGGGTTACATATCGTACTGATCATCATGGTGAACAGTCACTTACCAGATGGGTAAATGTGGCGTGCGGTAAAGAAAATCTTTCGTACGAAAGAGCAACCGTTCTGGTGTGACAACACCAAAGTACTACCTGCCCTTGTTAGTTGCAGCTCAATGACTTGCTATCCATTTTGGGTCCGGCCGTAAAGCAGCATCGTGAATAAAATTTTTTGCTAAAGACACAATTTGCCTTTCACTTGGCAGGAACCCGAAAATTCCGAAGTTCGTTGCCAACCGTTTTGCCGCTAGGCCATTGTACTCACCGCGCGTTTTCATGATTTTCCACTGTCTTTGCAAGGTCGAATAACATCTTTCGGTTTTTTATCAAGGTAACTACGGCTCAGTGTATCCACGGGTTGTGAGAAGCTTAGAGTTCTCAGATGTTTGGATGAGCTGGAAAAGTAGCAGAACATCCTACGAGTAAAAAGTTGTGAAGGGATTATGCAACTCCATCATTATCTAGATTAAATGGTAAATATTACAATGTCTGACGCAGTCGATGTCGCAAAATTAAACAAAGCAAATTGAAAGCCAAGTATAACACTAGGACAGTTGAGTGAAATCGCAAAGCGCTTCTGAGAAATTACAATTTTTCAATATCAACAACGTTCCGTTCGTGCTCCAAATTATTTATTCCTCGCCAAATTTTGAGGCACTATGCTTAGAAGTTCAGGCAAACATCTAGTTCATGAGATGGGAAGATTCCTAAAAAAATAGACTAA